CGATTTGCTGTCTTCAACGCACGAATTGACTGCGTCACATCCAGACCGTGCACCTTCCCCAGGAAGGTATACCCGTAGTAATAATCAGGGTACGAGCGTAAACAGGAACCTCTTCGCATCCTCGTCCTCGGCGTTGGAGGGAATGTCGTATTCTTACGTTCAAGGCTGAAAATGTTCGAACGCAGTAAATAACGTGGAAGTATTTATTCTCCAGAGTGCGTGCAATGAGAAGATAGCGCTTGTAAAGCAGTGAAAGCTTCGAAGATTGCATGTACATGATCTGTTCACAACCCCGCCCATGTCCCTCTCCAAGAAATTGCCTATTTCGGTTTGGAAGTTCGCTCTGTGATCTTGAAAAAATATTCGCATTAAAGCGAATGTAAATTACATATCACTGTTGAGAAAGCCCCTTGTGCTGTACCGCTACACCGTGTGGAAGCAATTTCAGCAAAACGTAATCGGTGCGAATTACCACGCGCGGAACGTATGCGTTCAGGGCACCTGGACCAAACTTCAGCGATCGTGCTGATCGATAAAAACAAATTTTCGATGTCTAACTGAAAAGAAAAAGTAATCTTGATCTCAATATACAGCCCAAAAAGAAGGTGAGCAAAAGAAGCTGATGGAGCCGCCTCAAGAAAACACCGCAACGTCACTTAAAATAAAATATGAAAAAAAAAACAAAAAAAAACGAAGCGGTTAGTATATTTTTTTTGGAGCGCTTTCTCAATGATCAAAAAAGATCGTCTGCTATTTTCCGCTATCGCTGCTATGTTCTCTTTTTGCCGTATCCTAAGACGAAGCGATTCCGCGTAGTATCCAGGTGATTATCCTGGCCGTTTCGAAATCGAGTCGGGGGTTGTTTACTCACGATGTCACGTGGTATCACCCGCTGACGTAGAAGACAGGCTACTCGGGTACGATGTGGAACAGAGCCTGTGTCATAGCCTCCTCTATAGTCACAAAGCCTGGCAGTTCGACGACAAAGCCATAGAGCGCCCGGTCGCAGATTTGGAGCGCGAGGATCTGGTAGCATAGAGCATTTCTCGGGGAAGCTGGTAGTGAGCGTACAGCTTTTGCAGTGGCGAGGACGCGCGAGGAACGCGAGGAGCACGACCGGACATTCCATTGCTCGGAAGAAATGTGTTTCGGCGTCTCGCCGCAGCGGGGCGCCCGTTACATGACTCTCCTCTCATCCGTTGTCTGCCACTCTACTTTTTCCCTTTCGGCGGCTGCGTCTCATGGCGGAAATAATAAGCACTGCAGAAGCCATTGCACGAGGGGAGTGGCACATGAAGCCGAGTTACAGCCGAGTCTTAAGCGCTTGCGCGTTCCAGGCTTGGTAGGCTTTATTTCGCACTCTAAGCTAAGACACTGAGGCTAGCATGCCGCCCCTGGACCGCCTTGTTAGAATCAGCGTTTCAGCTGAGACTGGGGGTAAGAAAGCACTGTAAAGGTTAGGGCGCGCGAGCGTCTTGAGACGCCGTTTTTGTCCCGCTCAGCTGGTGCGCTGGATTTGGCAGTGCTTTCTTTCCCCCCCTCATAGCCTCCTCTATACTGGGAAAGCCTGACAGATCGCCAGGAGAAGCGGCCGCCGAAATTAAGAAAGTAGAGCGGCAGACAACGGATGAGAGGAGAGCCACGTGACGGGCGCCCCGCTGCGGCGAGACGCGAACACACTTCTCTTGAGCGATGGACTGTCCGCTCGTGCTCCTCGCGTTCCTCGCGCTACCGCTTCTTTTCTCGTCGGGTTTGAAAACCATGTTTCGGATCCTCGCGGCTACAAAAGCTGTGCGCTGACGACCAAGTTCCCCGAGAAATGCTCTGTGCTACCAGATCCTCGCGCTCCAAATCTGCGACCGGGCACTCTATGGCTCCGTCGTCGAACTGCCAGGCTTTGAGGCCATGGGTGTACCAACCGGAGGGTGGGAGGGTAAAGAATCTGTTTTGCCCCCCCCCCCCCGCCCCCCCCCCTCCCCCCCTCTAACACAGCCGCCACTGGGCAGGGCAAACACTGGCCCGCGGTGCCCAAGGTATATCAAGGGAACTGCCCCCCCCCCCCCCCCCCCCCCGGGCTTGAGGGGGGAAGTCTGGTTTGCTCCCTTCCTACACACACCCACTCAAAAACAAGTTGGTACGCTACTGGAGGAGGCTATGCCGCACTATTTGCTGAAACGCTGTTTCTATCAAGTCGGCCTAGGCGTTTACTGTTGTTTTGTTTACCCGACGTGTCCTAACTCAGAACTTAACTGATCGAGGTTAAAACACTGATAGCAATCAAAGCAATTAATCAAATAGTAGGAAGGTTCATCGATCAACTGCTTATCTATGCTCCTGAAGCATGTTAATTACAGTTTCGCCATTTAAGTTCACATCTACAATTCCACGTTGATATGAAAAAAAAAAGCTGTTTTAAGATTTACCGCATTTGCGGCACAGAAATATGTAGTTATAAATGTGCCCATATTGCCATAAACTAGTAAAAAAGATATGTCTACGTCCTGCTTTGGAGCTGTCTTGAAGACATCATGTCAGCAAGGAATGGGCAGGAGCTTCCTGTTACAGGTCAATCGCCTTCTAAGTGCGGGTATTCTGCAGAAGTCCCTGACTGAGGCGGTAGATGGCCTAAAAAGAAATATATACTCCCTTTCACTTCAAGTGTGAGCGTAGCAGAAGCTACAGCAGAGAGCTCCGGGCTTTCAGCGTCCCCGCCAAGCGCGCACGCTCGTGCAGTGCGACCATTGTTCAGGGCCATATGCTCGCACTTGTAGAATCGGCTGCGTCTGGACTTAAGCTGAGACGAAGTATAGAGATGTTCCAGAGAAACTTGGAGGACGCTGAAGCTTCGCCTTTAAGAGTGTAGCACGATAGCCTTATCGGGCCCCGGTCGCACCGCCTTTTCACTCCCCAAACAAGCGTGCCCTGCGTGGCCAGGTCAGTAGCGTGTCTGTCTCGCAACCGAAGGGTCCCGAGTCAGAATCTGGCCTAAAATTCCACAAATCTTTCTTTAAGGCAAATGAATTACTTTATAAATTGAAATCGTTGGCGACATTCGGCAACCTTTAATTCGCTTTACCATGTCATGTTTGAATCACTTTCAGTCGAGGCTTAACGTTACGTTTCACGAGAACTTTGTGGGTTGTTTGAAATTCCCGCGCGAGGTCATGTGGCTGAGACGTCATGGCCCTATCGACCAATCAAAATTTTCCCGTCACGCCACCGACACCGGATTGTTCGCGACGCGAGCTCCTTAACGCTGTAGCGTTAAGGACCTCGTTTATAAGCTTTTAACGCTGTGGCGTTAAAAGTTCATGAACGGAGGAAAAAAAGACCGGCCATCATATCAGTGTTCACCTTCATGCTCTCTCTCGTAGTCTTTAAAAAAGTTGCGGGGTTCACAACGTTCTATTGTTTTGTTTTTTCCGAATAAGCTTTTGGTATTGTGCAAAATAACCAATTCTCCAGAGAGGGAGAGTGACGAATAGATAAGTACGTTTTTGGAATGTCTGTCGTCTGCGACATTACCCTACCCTGCTGGCGCACCTACGTAGGGCAAACAGGCCGCTGCGTGAATGGCCGTGCGAGAGAACAGGCAGTAGCTATCAAACAGGCGTCGTCTGGGAATCTGGCAGTACATTGCGATCGATGCCCGTGCACCCCTTGTTTTTAAACAGAACAACCATGGGACGACATTGGGGAGGAACAACCAGGGAAATTCACGAAGTGGTTGTCATCAAAACAAGATAAGGAAATGTTATCTTTAGAGAGAGAGAGAGAGAGAGAGAGAGGTGGCTGGAAGTGGCGTGGTTTTATTAAATATTTGCGTCCGTGTGTTTTCTAAGAAAATTTCAGCTGCGAGTGCGCTCCGTATTGTCGTTACCAGCTCCACGTTGTCACTGTCCTTCGGCGCTTCTATCGCAGTCACGAACCGAATATTCCCGCTGCACATCTCGTTAAGAGAATTTTAGTCTCCTTCAATCCGCTGACATGAGATTCTTAACGCGATCGTATAATCTTGGGAATGCGACGGTGAAAGGGAGAAAAAAAAAGCGGTCAGGCACAGTGGCTTAGATCAGGGTACGATCCGTCCGGATGATCGTAGCTGCGTCCGTCAACAAAGTGCAACGAACGGAAGTCATACTTTATGCTTATATACTTCGGGAATAAGCGACCATGTCCTGGCGGCGCCATTTCCAAAACACTCGCCGGTAGCGCCAAGTACGTTTTACTCACGGAACCGGCCAGGTATAGACCTTTTCCACAAGGGCGACGCCATCTTGAACTGCCATCACTTCCAGTATGGGCGAAAACATTGTTTTTGCCGACGCCGCGCCAATAGAAGGCATTCAGGATATTAGCGTGACCGTCACACATTCTCGTTTGGCCTCCCCTCTATTCTTCTACTATTTGCCGGTTGAAACGTTTCATTATTATTTCGTCGCCCATACCGGGTACGCTTATTTGGTGGCTGGGGGCGAAAGTACACGAAAAAGGTCTATACAATAAAAATTCCTCATACGCGCCGGGAGGAGTAGCTGCATCACTAGCCAACCGCTCCTGGGGTCGAAATTTCTACCACCTTCGCAGAAAGGGTACCCCTTGGTTACATGGGAAGCGTGCAGACAAGCACTGCGAAAACACGCTAGCTTTAAAGCTCACACTAGGATCGTTGACTTTATGAGGAGTTTCTATAATCAGGGACAACTGTCTGCGAACAGTGGCAGTGCATTCAAAGGTGCGGAAGCACGTACTGTAGCACCAACTGAGCACGCGCAGTTCTTTTTTCGGAAAGGCCACATAAATTTGTCTTTAGCATAGAAGTTTGGAAATACTCTTTTGCAGCTGCAATAGTTATATATATTATGAATAATATTATTATAACTTAGAGACACCGACAGCACAAGCAGTACATGATGGTCAGTAACTTATATTGGTTCACGAACCATACAGCACTTGTTATTCCCGAAAAAAATAAAAAATAAAAACCTTTTTGCTTACAGGGGACATTGCCAGCCAGGAACTTTGCGACATTTCCCAGGAATGCAACTCCACCATGTCGTCAGGAGTCTTAACTCCACCAAGCTCACCCAATTCTAAGGTAAGAATTGCGCATCTACGTACCTATATTTTCGGATTTATGCAGGCTGCTTGCTTTTAATTCAGGCATATATTTAAAGAAAAAGAGGGCAAGGGTTAGGAGTCTGCTTTCTTTACTGTGTATTTAGGAGACTCGAAGGACGGTTTGTCTGAGGAGATAATCGTCATGGTACGTTGACTAATTAAGTAAATTTGTAAATTACCTTTTTATTATTGGTTTTAGGGGTCACGTGGAATTGCAGCATTTACGGCAATCACTATTAGAACCCAGATCAATTTAAAAACATTTGCGAAAAGGCAAAGGTTTTAAGATATTAATCGATCCATTTTCGCGTTCTTTTGGTTTGTTTTAAAAATCGCGCGCTAAAACAGCTCATCAAGCCCTGCTCACAATGATACCTGGAAGAATCACGTCGCTACTTCTGTTTCGGCGTATACCACAAAAAAGACGCTGCCGAGATAGCGATTGAAACGACCACATCACTCTTTCAAGCGCCATTGTTTTGCGACGGTCTTTGAGAGTGGAATTTTTAAATCAAGCCAGAAAATGCGAAAATTATTATATTAACATCTCTAAAACCGTTTCGGAAATGTTTTAAATTGGTCTGGACACTAATAGTAATTGCCGTCAAGGCTGCAATTCCAACATGACCCTTAGAAACAATAATTAAAAAGTTGATGAAGAAATTTTGGTTAACTAGCCAGCTTACAGTGACGACTATCCTCTCATCTAATGTCCGATGAGCCTGATAAATACACGGTGAAAACAGAACTCCTCTAATTCTAACACCCTATTTAAAAACAAAATCTGTTCGGATTATAATTAAAGACTATGTCTCTCCGGCAGCAAGGTATCTACTCATTTTTCTTCTCAGCTTTGGTGCACCATGGCCATGTGGCTGTTTCACCATAGACCCCAAAATTCCTCTCAGATTGCACGAGTGATTCATTGATGTCGGTGCCTTGACTAAATCTCGAAGCAGTATGCAGCCAGGCATTTCTGAGAACACGAAAACAATAACCAATGCAAAATATATTTCTGAACTTTGGGAGTGTCTTAGACAATTTTGGCTCGGTTCATGATTTAACGCCGGGACTTCAAACGTCGGAAAGTAAAAGGTACATTAGCTTGGTTGGTGTACCTGCCACAACATACACAATAAAGAGCACTAGGGCTGGGAACCACAGATACAATAGTTAAATGGCAGTGGGAACAAGATATACAAGAGTCTAGGATTGAAACGTTTACATACAGCTGTCAAACAGTACGCGAAAAACGTTATTGACAGTTGAAAAAAAAAGAAAAGAAAAGAAACAGAGAAGAGCTGTCAACAATCGATGCAGACGGTGCAGGTATTCCAATCATTTGAAACTCAGAAAATAGCCTAGAAATAAAGGGTGCTATAGCGGCAAAGAGATATTCTTCAAGACGTATTGAAGCAAACGATGGTGGAGTCAACAGCTGATTTCTAGGTACAGAGTTGTAGAGAAATATTCGGTAAAATATTGGCAGCGACCTTTATCTCCATAGTCATATAATGCGTGAAATTCAGTATTTAAAGGAATGCTGAACCGAAATCTGAATTCCACAAAACACGGCGGCTAAAGCCTGCATCTTGATGCTACAAACGTCAAAAATTCACTCACACAGCGATATCTCGAACGGATGACCGCATTTTTCTAAAAAAGGAGGCGCCTTTGACTGATATGTTTACGTCTTCTTTCTCCGAGAAGGAGAGGGAACGACCTCGCGTCTTCTCCGCCTCGCCGCCTTGAGTGGGTGAAGCAAAGAGAGGAGGAAACGAGATATGTTGACGTCACGCGCCTCGTCGGCCTCGTTCAATCTCGACCTCTTTCTCCCAAAATACGGCCGCCCATTCGAGATATCGTCTTACGAGTAGTGTTGTAGGGACTGTAGCGTACCGCCTACAGCTCCTGCATTGTGAAAAACATTTATTTTTATAAATCTTCCCGCAGCATTGAGCGGGAAAACTCGGTCACGGGGCGTCAATTTTTTTTTGTTAGATTTAGTGGGGAAATTGTATTGACGCATGTGTCAGTGTAGGCAGGTGACGTGACGTCAATTTCCCCGCTAAATAAACTAAAGGTGTTTAGGCCACGTGACTTCAATTTATACTACCAAATTTGGCGGGAAAACTGAATTTGTGTATAGGTGACGTGACGTCAATATTTCCGCTTATTTTACCGGTGAAACCAAGTTTGTGTATGGGTCTCGTAATGTCAAGTAACGTGAAATCAAAATTTCCGCTAAGTTTAGCGGGGCAAGCGAATTCGTGTATAGGTCACGTAAAGTCAGGACCTATCATGTATATTTTTCCGCTACATTTAGAAGCGAAACAGTATTTGTGTATAGGTCCCGTAACGTCACGTCACGTGACCTCAATTTTACCGCCGATTTTGGCGGGAAAGCTTGGTTGGTGTATATATTACGTGACATCAATTGACGTCACGTGACATGAACACTAATCTAGTTTCCTTGCGAAACTTAGATGGAAAGACACGGACGGACGGAAAACATTTGTGATTGGGTTTTTAAAGCATTTCGTGCTTTAAAAAAGACAAAACTCAAATCATACAATGGTGGTCCGGGTCAGAATTTTTACATTTATATATAAAAAAAAGTATGTAAAAACTCCATTCTTGGGACGAGTATTCAGCTATATATGAACGTTGAAGCTAATTGTCTTCGGTAAATGAAACATTTCGAAGCTTGAAGCGTGGAGACTGATAAGAATTCACAATGGTACTTTGCACAACCGTCAATTTCACACCGAGGCATGCATCTGCTATTAATATTTTTATTTATTTTATGAGAGGTTTACAACATGTACAAAACATATTAAAATTAAAAAAAAATTCTTTGCAAAAGAAAAAAAAAGAGCTACGAGACACGCCAAGTAAACACGTTTTGGAGCCGCATTCACAAATTGTTCCAGGAAATTATTTATTATAAAATGCCGCACAATATATCAAAAGGAGCATTAAGGTACAGTTTACGAATATAGAAAAATAATGCTCAACAATTTTATTGTTGTGTTATTAATGCAGAAACGCAGCTAATCTCACAAAAAGTGGTAAAATTGCACGTGAATCTTTGCAAAAGTTAAAACCTAATATTAAATTTTTTATACTTTCCTTAACAATTTTCAGTGTTTTGAACTAACTTGTGTTTCCAAAACATTGAGGAACATATTGTCACCGAGTAAGGTGTAGAGACGATAAAGTATGAACTGAAAATAAAGGTTTAATCGGAGAACTTGTGCCAAGCCAAATAAAGAACGGGGTTCGAGACAGCATGAAAAGCGTGCGGCGTTTCGGCGGCGTAACAGCAAGCGAAGGCAAAACTGACTCACCAAGGTCGAGGGCAGTTCCTTATGTACTGCGCGTCGGCATTGCGAAAATCCGGCCCAGAAGATTCGAGCATCTAGCGTTCGTGGTAAGAATGACCAGGCACTCCCAGAACGAGAAACTAGGGCGAAATGATAAAAGGGTAGTAATAAACGCGAATCTTCTGGAATACCGTGACCGAGCGCTGCTTGCTAGGTCCTGCGCGTAACCATATGACCTTCAAAAAAACGACAACAAAATTTTACCTAAATTAACCTCGCTTGTCTTTGTTATCGGCACATTTTCTAGGACAGACAAAGGCTGTACAGTGGTGCTGCTCTATCCTAGAATGTAGAAAGTCGGGCTTCCCCTAGCTTAGATTTATGTTTGTGCTTCCTTTGAATTTAATTTCTACTAAGACCCCCCTCCCTGGTTCCCCTGCCTTTTGCTCACGAAGGGCCGCCGGCGGACGCCGTAGCTACCGACAGTTGAGAACGCTATGCACAGCCCATTACCGTGAAACCCGAAGCCCGCACATGAGAAAGGTCTGTCACCGCAAAATAAAGGCGAGAGAAGTAGTATCTGGAAAGTCGGTCTTGATATTCTAGCTGTGATGGCAAATAAGCCGGCTTACTATTTCTATGTATCGATGCGCACTATACGCTGGAATATTCACAAAAGTGGATAACTACAAGGGTTTTTGTTGGGTGTTTCCATGTCAATTCATACAATGATGGTCCTAGTCATAAATTTTCTTGTTATGCAAAATATACGTATGCTATATAAGAGTCAGTCAAGACCTTGGGAGAAAAACTCCGCTATTCAGGAGTCCAATTGCCTATACTTGGTGCCGCTACTAGATTTTAGAAATGGCGGATAAAGTGAGCAGTGTTAAAATGTGCTCGAGGCTGTGCAAAACAAAACCAAAATGTTTTACGCTTTGCGTACAAACGTTTTGCGTATATAATCCAAAGGGCACTTGGGATTAATGTTTTTTTTTAAATGAAGCTTCTAATGCTGTTGAAATGTGAAAGGTGATTGAAAAAGGTCCAAAGTTCTGCACAATGCCCAAACGACATGGTTAAGACATGTTATCCCCAGTTCACGACGTCGTGGCTAAAGCTACAGAAGATGGCAGAAAAAGGTGCATTGACGACTACGTAGATGTTTTGCTAAAAACTGGTCCTAACTGCGCAAGCACGGTGAAATTAACAAGTTCTGTAAGCCTTTTTCATGAGAATGTTTTAAATCTCTTACTTTCTGCTAAAGGGGGAGGATTTGTTGTCGCACCCCGAGATATCTACCACAAAAAGGCTGTAATTGACACTGGCGAAAACTTAAACCTACTACATGATTTCAAAGCTAAACCTGTCAAAACCAGAGCTCTCCAATTATGCCATAGGCTTAATTGAAACCACTTAATAAAGCGAATCACCTCATAAAAAAACCACCATATTTTTCACGGCCAAGACACTCAAGGAGGATTGCCCTTTCAGCGTAATTTTTCATTAAAAACTGATCCTGGTACGGTGAGACGTCGCAGTTCCTATTACGTCTTTTGTCAATTCTTGTTCTGGTAGATTCATTCTTGGTACAAAAGTCTGAAATAGTCATAAAATACCTAAAGAAACATTCATCGCAAGTGCCCTTTGG